TCCCTGCTGATTTGTGATCAATGCTTTCGGGAGTCCGTGTATTGCGAAAGACGTGCGCAGTTTCTCTATCCACATTCCCGTGTTTGATGAATGAACTCTATGCACATCCAACCATATTGAGGCGATATCTACAATAACTAAAACCTTGTGTTCATGAAGGGACCTGCATAGTCAACGTGAAATCATGTTCAGGATTTATCCAGCCTTCTCCACTAATGTGGAGGAGCTGTTGACGGTAATTACTATTTTTGTTGGCACTCTGGGCACTGCCCCACCAACACGACTATATCTGCATCCAAGCCTGGCTACCAGACTTAACTTCTCACCAATATCTTCATTTTTGAGAGCCCTAGAAGACCCTGGTGGAGTTTACCCAGTATCTGGCAGCAACCCTTGCTCGGGACATTCACTCTTGCTTCCCCATAACAATATACCGTCCTCTACTGTGGTTTGGTCCTTCCTGGTCCATAAAGGTTTCAGTTCTAGTTGTGATGGCTCAGCAGTTTCTGTTTTGCCAGGATTAGATCTTTCTGCGTCCAAAGTCTGATATTGTTAGCTGTGACAGGAAGTGTGTCCATAAAATTTAAAGCCGTTATGGACTCTTTCAGTGGCTGTACGACTGATGGCGTATCTGCCAACAGGAGGCAGCTTTAATGCATCTGCATTCTCCACCTGACCTCCTGGGCAGTGTTTCAACTTGTAATTATACGCACTTAGCATGAGAGCCCACTGCTGAATTCAGCCTGAAGCTGTGGGCTGCATTGCCTTGTCCTCTTTAAGTAAACCTAGCAAGGGTTTGTGGTCCCTTACTTTTATTAATTTAGGTCCATAAAGAAATTGGTGGAATAAAGGTCCCAATCCGAAACATCAGCTTTCCTGCTCCTCTGATGCTGTTTGGCCTGCTGTGTTCCTTCAGCTCCACACCTTCTTATCTCTGATTCCAGCATCGGCAGTTCTTACTACCAATAAGTGAGTTATTCCCAAGGTTGACCCTCTTTTAGGAGTTGATGCAATGGTGCCAGGATGGAGGCCAGGTTATGTATGAACTTTCTGTAATAGGTCACCAGCCCGTGCTCTGGGAGAGATGTGAGAACTGGGGCACCTTTGATCACCCTCACTTTATCTTCTAATGGGTGTAACCCGATATTGTTGACTGTATAGCACAAGGAGGTCACTTGGGGCGCCTGGAACATACAATTTTCCCTTTAGGCATAGGCTTTCTTGGGATAAATGCCTAAGGACTATGTCCAACTTCTCGAAATTCTTCTCATTGGTCTTCCCTGTTATTAGCATGTCATCTAGATAAATGGTGACTGGGGTAAAACTGGCAAAATGTTTTCCATTGTCTGCTGAAAAATTGCACAGGCAAATATCCCAAATGGCAGTCTTGAATATTGGTACAAACCCTTTTATGGGTATTAATTGTAACATACTTGTGGGAATCCTCATCTAACCACAATTGCAAGTGCGCATGGCTCGTGTCCAGCTTAGTGAAGGACAGCCCCCCGGCCAGCTTTGGATATAAATCCTCTATGTGAGGGATTGGGTATTTATTCAGCTGACAAAAGCAGTTTACCATTTGTGTAAAATCCCCACAAAGGTGAACCAACCTGTTGGGCTTCATAATTGGAATGACTGTTCCATTCCACCAACCATACTGGTTCGATGATTCCTTTGCTTCCCAGCCTCCTGATTCCTGCCTATACTTTTGCCCATGAGGCAAACGGCACTGGATGAGCCTTGTAGAATCAGGGTCAACATGATTCCCATTCGGCGAACAGTGCCAGATGGAACAAAGGGTGTAAATCTCACATCATGAGGCAGTGAGCCTAACTCATTGTGCAGCTGTGGAAGCAACAGCTAAAGTTATTTTGTAGTAGTCAGTTGTTTTTTTGAAGTTATTCACAACATTACAAAATAGGTTCTAGTTGATGATTCTTCAGATAATTATAGAGATCGATACATGTATAACCAAAAAATAATAGAAGCGTGAGGGGATGCACAGAAAGAACCCAAGGTCTAGAGATGACAATGTCTGTTAAACACCATGAAATCATGGGAACCTGGGGCGGCCCATAGAAGTGCCCATCATTGATGAGGTGTTCCACAGGATTGGGTGTGTAGAATAAGGGGAACGACACAGTGACCACACTGTCTGTGATTATTGTGACACAAAACATACAAAAATGCTGTATTTCTCTGTGGAAACCAGAGCATCATTGATCTCTCTTCCGATCTGAGTTGAATAAGAGAACTGCTGTGTTCTCACGTGGATGCCAGATTCGGGGAATATCTTTGGCCCTCTCCCTGCATTCACCGGTTGTTGCTTGAAGAGGCAAAAATCTGCCACATGCCTAAATCCTGCCTGACCCCTCAGTCTTTGCCCCCGATTGGGGGCCGGAATTTCAAAAGCCTGCTTGAACTGCCTATTGTTAAGAGACACAAAATGGCCCAAGTTTAAAAAGCCTACTTCAGTATTTAAGTGAAAAAAATAGTGTCTTTGAGAAAGGGGTTATTCCGAGGCAAAGGAAAGCATTATCTGAATGGTAAGGTTCGAAAGAATGCAAAGACAGCGATAAGGAGATTCAAGAATGAACGATTTGAAGATTTGTGACAAACTTAGAAGAAATAATGGAATTGTAACTACAAAAACTTGAAAGATCACTCATCTACCACAAATAATTAATTCCAGATTCATTAAGGAAAGGATATCTTCGGCCATAAAAACAGAAGCTAAAGTTATCTTGCAGAAACTAGCTGTTCTTTTGAAATTATTTAAAATATTAATAGGTTCAAGCTCACGATTCTTTAAATAATCACGGAGATAGATTTCAATGTAATTTTAAAACTTTATAACGAAAGTACTGAAGGAAAACATGAAAGAGATTCCTGCAATATCTTGTCTTGTTAGCTAATGAGTATTAACAGGAGGACAAATGACAAAATTTTAATATTTTGAATTTTATAACAGAATCAATTTTTTTTTATGTCAAAAGAAGTCATGAAATTTCATGGAGATAGCCAGTACAATGACCAATAGAATTCGGGGAGTCCTCAGAGATAAACAAACCAGGGACATGACCAAAAGAGAACGGCCAGTCACTTTGGAATGCAACAGAGAAAGATCCCAATGCCTAGAAATTACAATAATTGTTAAAAGACTAAGGGAACCTTGGGTTGTCACAGGATTGACCCTCATTAACCAGGTGTTTTACAGGATTGGTCCCATAAAGGGGAAGGGAAGGATGCAGTAACCATGTTCTGTGTGATAATTATAACACAAAATGGACAAGATACTGTTTTTAAATGTAAACATCAGAGTGTGTCATTGATCTCTCTTCCGATCTGAGCTCAAGATTAAGGAAATGATTGTGTTCTCACATCAAATACACAGTTGGGGAAGAGCCTTTAGCCCTCTCCCTGCATTAACCGGATTTTTTTCCCCAATAAATGTGTGCCATGTGCTTGTATTTTGTCCATCTCCTGAGTCTTTGTCCCCCGTCGGGGGAGTGGTCACACTCCTACGGAGGGGGTGGGGAGGGGGGGGGTTCAGTTTCTATATTCCCAAATAATGGCATCACGCCAGATATGTTTACCCCAACTTAAAGATCACTGTTGTGAGCAAGTTCCCTCAGGAATGTGCTTCACGGTCATCATCACTGAAATCACCCCACAGTGGTCAATTTCCCATCACCAAGTCACCCATAATTTACACATGGAAACTCCTTGACACTGGTTCAAATCTCTCTGAGCCAGCTCTCAGACTGTCAGAATGTCTGACTCTCCTCTTTTAAACTGTCAGCCAGGGCTCCCTGATTGGATCAGACTAACAGCCCCAGTCAGGAAAGTGATATTCTAGGAGATCCACCTGTTTGACTTTGTTACAATCACTACGCTGACAACATTGACAAGCTGCCTGACTTTATGTCTGTGCTAAACAGCAAGGCAAGGCTGCAGTGCTGTGAGCCTTTGAGCTCTGGTTGAGGTGTAAAAACACAAGAAGGCAAAAGGCAAGGCAAACAATGCTGTGACCATCCAAGTAGGCACAATGTTGGTGAGGCACTAAGAGCAAGTGAGCAGCTCTGAGATGCAGCCTGGTCCAGCCCATGAGCTGGGTGTAATGCAGAGACCTTGCAGTGGCATTGCAGTGTTATTTGCCAGTGTGCTCCAAAATGCAGCATTACAGTGCAGAAGTGTACTGTAAGGATACTGTAAGTGAATTGGAGATGTGCCAGGATGATGTGGAGAGACTAGAACATGTTGAATGTTAAGATCAGAGGGTGTGGGGTGTTTGTGGTTGCTGCCTATGGTGTGTGCCTGAGATGTTGATGCTGTGTGTCCAAGACAGAGCTGGAGTTACCAGGGACCTGCGCAGAATTTCACTTTGGGAATTCTCAGCATCCGGTTTTTATCTGGCAGGTTGTAGAAAAGGAACCTGCCTATGAATAAGACAAAGTTAAACAATAATGAGGGCAATAATGAGTAATGTGCCCAGTTAATTGGCCCCACACTGCTCATTACTGAGAATCTCATTTCAAGATCCAGAACGATGTTGGAAAACACAACTTGTTGCTCCTGACATCAAGAAAGACCTCACTCGACTTCTCACACAAACATTACAGATTTCTCACCATAGCCCATGTAAGTCAGGGCCTGGGAAGATCCTGCCCCTTTCTATTGGAACATGACGAGTACAGTTACTGCCCATTATAAACATGTACAAGTTATTGCTCAGATATAAATTGTTGCTGCCCATATACAGTGAGCTGTTCATATCTATGTGTAAGATCCACTGATTCTGTCTGATAAATAAACTGTAAATGTGTGAGATAATGCCTTATTTCAAAATAAAGTTCCTGTTGCCATCTACAATGTAACTTCCTCCATTGCAGTGGCTGCTCACACAGATGATGTAAAGTGTGTAACAATATTGAGGTTAGTCCGCAGAATCGCACAGTGTATGAGAGAATCTTGCTGAAGCATTTCCTCTGGTGACACAGTGGTTGGAAAGTCATGGGATTAGGAATATCATACCTAATCCTGGGTGAGTACAAGGGATCAGATGGTGTCAGCTGTTTCGATTTTTATGGTCAATTTAACTAGAACAGAAACTGTATTGAATGTGAAATTTAAATAGTTGGAAGGAATGGATGTCCAGCCAGGAATGCTGATGTGTGTTTCAGTTCACTTCTGTTCATTCACAGAATAGAGTGTGCATTTAGTGTTCGAAGTGCGACAGTGTAAGAAGTTTGGAGGTGATGGGTTTACAAAGAACAAGAACAAAGAACAGTATAGCACAGGAACAAGCCATTCAACCCAACAAGACTGCACCGACACATAATGCCATTTTAAACTATAAACCTTTTCTCCCTTTGTTGTCCATAACCCTCTATTCCCTGCCTATTCATGTATCTGCCAAGACACCTCTTAAAATGTTGCTATTGTATCCTCCTCCACCATTTCCTCTGGCAGCACATTCCAGGCACTTACCACCCTCTGTGTCAAAAACGTGCCTCTCACATCTCCTTTAATTTTCCATCTTTTACTTCAAACCGGTGTCCCCCCATTATTGATATTTCTACACTGGGAAAAAGACTCTGACTAGTGAGTCTATCCATGCCTCTCATAATTTTATAAACTTCTATCGGATCGTCCCTCACCCTTCAACGTTCAAGTGAAAACAAACCAAGTTTGTGCAATCTCTCCTCATCACTAATAATCTCCAAACCAGGCAACATCCTGGTTAACCTTGTCTGTACCTACTGTACCTACCTAATTTACTTCCCTGCTGCTGATCCCTCATCCCCCCACCATGCATGGCCATTCCCAGCCTACTTTCATTGCTCAAACCCTCCATTCCCAGCAACATCCTGGTAAATCTTTACTGAACCCTCTCCAATTTAATAATCTCCTTCCTAACCCAGTGCAACCAGAACTGCACACGGTACTCCAGTTGAGGCCTCACCAATGTCCCGTACAATCTCTACATGACATCCCAACTCCTATACTGAAAGGTCTGAGCAATGAAGGCAAGCACGCTAAACACCTTCTTAACCACTCCGTCCACCTCTGATGCAAATTTTAAATCTTATCCGGGTGTTCCAGATATTTTTAATTCCCTATCCTGGTTCTGTCTGTGCACATGCAGTGCATCTCTTGTCAAAATTTAGCTATGTCTCTTCCCATTCCTTTCTTCCACCAGCACTTAGATATTAGATGTATCATTTTATCCCTTTCTACGTGTGCTATTCCATGGTAAACACTGCATAGGGTCAGCTGGCAGAATGCAGGAGCTACCACTTTGCCTTTCTTTCTCCAAATATCATCTGCTCCCAACACTGCCCCATCTTTCATCTATTCCACTGTTTCCTCCAAACCAGCTGCTGCTTGTAAATTTAAAATGTCCCGTTCATCATCTTTGGCTTCATGCTCTCTCACAGCTGCTATCGTTATCACTTCCTGTTCTAACATTGCTTTTGCTGCGCTATCTGCATCATCACTCCCTCTCTGCACTTTCTGTGGGTTTTTACTTCAATTACTGCTGCCTCCTTTAGTCCAATAGCTGTGGCCACTCGGTCCGTGACTAGAGGGCTCATGCTAAATTACACTACCATTCGAAGTAACATAACCTCGCCTTGCCCATGCCATCATGTCGTCATGGACTATACAAAAGGCATACCTACTGTCTGTGTAGATGTTAACCCTTTGTCCTCTCCCTAACTGCAGGGCTACAGAAAGTGCTTTTAGTTTCCTGGGCAGAGTGACATCCTCCTATTCTCTCTCCTGCTGAAAGCTCCCAGTTCAATTTAACCACAGCCCACCCTGTCCAGGCTCACCATCATATTACTTCAGCACCTCATCTACAAACATGCATTTCAAATCTGGCCTTTCAAATCTGGCCCGTCTAATGGCTCTTCCCTAACTCGACCCTGTCTCTTCTCTTCCTGCTTCATGAGGGGGATACAGTCATGTGTCTCTCCTTCCTGATTCACACAGCTCGCTGGGTTCTCTCGGTTATCTTTAGCCACTTCCACATGCTTGGCTCCTGGCAAAAGGGTGGCTTCCTATTTGGCTTGTTGACTGTCTCTCATACCTCTCAGTTCACCAGCTTCCAAAGGCCGGGCTATACTACGTGGGGAGTGTGCTATCACCTTCCCTCGTTGTGTTCAGGGGGACAATGTTGGTAGAGCCCAGGGAGCACATTGGATGGCTCGGACACACAAGTGTTGTCCCATCAGATTGATTGCCATTGCTTTCACTGCAAAAGAGTTGAAAGGGCCTTTTACAGGTCGAGGAGTCCAAGTGCTAGTGCAGAGGCCAGGGTCTCTTTGATCTTGACAAAGGCCATTTCCTGTAAGGCCCCCAATCCATCTTCTTGGAGCTCGTCCGCCCCACTTTGGTCAGGTCTTGAAGGGGTCTGGCTAGTTTATTATAATTTTCTACAAAGCTCCTGCAGAAATTAAACGGCCCTAAAACTTGTCTTACCCCTTTAACAGGAACTGTTTTATTCAATTTTCCTTTCTCGTGGAATTTTACGGCTGCCCTGCATTACTGTCTGTTGCCACTGGCAACCAGCTGGAGATTTCTCTGATTCTGTCTGGGTCCATCTCCGTGCCTACTTTCCCCGAGGGACCAGCGACTCTCTTTTCCTTCAGTTACACATTTAATGGTGAAATGTCCGTTCTAATTACACACGAAACCCTCTCCTCTTCTTTTTGTGACCAACCGGCTCCCTCTATCTGTGTGTTCCCTGTTACTACTGCTGCTAGTTTCTTAACGTTCCCTTGGTGAGTTTCTGCTTGCATAGCCCAATTGAGCACTCTCTTATTTTGTGTCTTTTTTTTTAAATCCTCCAGTTCTCTAACCACATATTACTTCACCCAGTAGCAGTAAAATAACATCATATGTGGGCTCAAAATTTCTAACGAGAGCAACCCTCCATTCCATGTTAATTGGTATTGATCTATTACAGAAACAAAAGACAGTGGGGTATAAACTCTTGCACATAATTACATTATCCATGCTCCTTCTGCAAGAAAATAAATGTTACACGTTTCGAAAGAAAATATCTCCTCTATTTCAGTTGCCTTTTCAAATTCGTCTATCAGTATTGTCAGATTTTAGACCATGTTAGAAGTTTGTTCAAACAGAATTGCATTTCCAAGATTCCCAATTTCCTATTAGTTGCATTCCTTCATATCACAGCACCTTTTCAATGAGCAAATCTTATCATCCGGAGTTAAAGATTCACTCGTGTTAAAACAGTGTTTGGAAGTTCATTTCTGGCCAGTAAATGAAATTACACACCTGGTAATTTCAAAAATTAAAATTTACCCAAGTCCAGACACAACACAGAGTCAATCCTAAAAGGTAAATTTTTATCAAACTTTACAAACCATCTTTTTAAATCAACATTTCGCTGCAGCCTTCTGCTTTGTACAAGTGACAGTTTCTTAAACAGACATCACATTAAACATACATGTCCCACACTTACACAGGCACATCACACATTTAAATCATCACACATTCCCAAAATCCAAACTAACTTCAAAGCATCCCCAGATCTTGAGCTCCAGGAATAAAATGTATAAATTGCACGAGACAACATTTACCAATCAACAAACCCAAAGGTGCATTCAAACCAGACCACAAAGAGTTAACACCTCACCACGATTCAGTGAAACAGCACAGAGCGCAATCTCCCTCTCTCTAGTTGATATTTATGAACACTGTAGTTTATTTCAGCTTGTTTCTCCGCTCTTTTTTGAACACAGTCTGCAGAATAGACCGGCCTGGATCTTAGCCCGCTTTTCCATTATCCTTCCCTGCCATTTTCCCAGACTCTCTCCAAGCCATGGTTGCCGCTTTTATTTTACAATTTTATTATTTACCAGACCCTTGTTATTTTCTCCCTCACACATCAATTGTTGCAGAAATTTCTAGTTTTTGTGTTCCATCCTTCTTTCTTTCTTTTGCACGTGCTAGCACCGGGATTTGTATCTCCCCTACCCCCTTCTCTCTTTTGCGCACCGGGATTTATATTGCCCCCCTTCTCTATTTTGCGCACTGGGATTGATATCCCCCCCCATTCTCTATTTTGCGCACCGGGATTTGTAACCCCCTCCTTCTTTCTGCATCTACTAGCGCCGGGCCCCCCTCCCACCATCCCTTTGATTCTCTCTCCTCTTCCTAACTCCAATCTAAAAGTTTGTTTTATGCCCTGGCTTACAGAAGTCCCCTACCAAGTGCCACGCTAGCTAGAAAGGTGATAAATAAACATACTCACCCAGATCATGGCCCAAGGTGTGCCAGCTTCAGGCAGGGAACCATGCACACTGCGCTAATCGAGAGGAGCGTGCCCCCGGACAGGGACAAAGACTCGGGAGGCCGGCAAGATTCAGACAAGTGGGAGATGTTTATTCGAGCAAACACCGGTTGATGCAGGGAGTGGGACATAAACCTTCCACAAGTCGGAAGGGAAATCAATGACACTCTCTGATCTTACAAAGAAGTACAGCATTTTTATACACTTTGTGTCACAATACTCAAATACAACGTAGTCACTGTCCTTCCCGTTAATTCAAACACCAAATCCCATGGCACACCTAATCAATGATGGGCATTCCTGCAGACAGCACCAGGTTCCCATGATCTTATGGTGTTTACAAGCAATTGTAATCTCTGGGCCTTGGGATCTTTCTATGCATCCTATTCCTTCTCATTCCAAAAGTTTACAAGCTATCCTCCTTTAGGTCTGTGTCAGGCTCGATGTCTGTAAGGACAGCTTGAATTCTATTGTTCATTAGATTACTTGTGTTTTCTTTATCAAACTCAGTCATTCCTTTCAAATTATCCACTGTCCTAATTATATATGTGAAAATACAAAAGGCAGTTCGTTTCAATTAATTGCTATAAGGTTAATTTCCATTCTAAGGTTAGTAATAAAATGTAAAGTTGTACAACTACTTCTACTCTTAGCACTTTGTAACTAATGGGTAGTGAACAATCTATCTTGCTCAGGGCGTAAGAGAATGTGTTTCCTAAGGCTCTGGGTTTAAATGCCTTTTCCCCTACTGCTTGTATTATGCTCTGGTTATACATTGAAGTCTATTTCTATAATTATCTGAATAATTTTTAACTACAGCCTATTTCTCAATACTGTAGGTAAAAAGCTAATTAATACAAAATATCTTTAGCTGTTCTCTTTGCAGCTGTTTAGGGAGTTAGGGCCATTATACAAGCTTGGGTAGTTCTGTTCCAAGGATCGATTATGTTTCACTTTATATGTTTGAGCAGACTGTCCCATTTTGTTTAGTCCTCATCAGATATTTTGTGTCTTTCAAACACGGGTCGCTTTGATGCAAGCAGGAACGAGTCACTGCATGGACAGGTATGGGTCACCCCTCCAACTGGTCATCACTGAGTAGCACAAGAGGACTGTCCACAATTATTGCTAAAAGCAACATTTTCTCGAGGTCACAATGAATGAATGAATTAATTGTTTAATTAATAATTAATTAGTTCATAAATTGAGTCAAACCAGACCACAAACGGTTAACAATTCGTTAAGCAAATGCTGCATGGCTTAGTGCCTTTTATTTTTGTTGTATGAGCTGTAACTACCAAATAAAAGGTCATATTTTGAATTCACACTCAAGGTAAAACTGACGCTGAGGCTCCAAATGAAACGTAAAAACAAGTGGCTAAATGTTTGATCACAGGAGTAGCTTTTCAGCAGTTTGCTAAAGCAGGAGTTATAGGTTTAGGGAGGGAGTTACAGAGCTAAGGGTGTACACTCCTGTCAGTACAGTCACTGAGCGTGGGGTGTAAGAATATGGGGATGCTCAATGATTAACTGTTGGAGGATTACAGATCTCAAAAGTTTATAAGGTTGGAGAAGGTTTGGAGAGGGAAGTTTGGAGCCACAGAGTAACAAGGAACGGGGTGGTGGGTGACTGAGACTTGATGTGAATGTTTTTATCAAATACATGAGTTTTCTTTTCCTCCAAGTGATCTGCTTTAGCAATGGGTGGAATTCATGGAGAACCATAGCCATAAAGTGTGGCGAAGGATTCTATTTTGGAAAAAACAGGACATGCATTGGTGAGTATGAGCATGGAGACGAGTTTCTGTTCCTTTCTTCCTCTGATATATATCCAATAATGGCCACTAGACAGCAGGAGGACTTTTAAACTCTGTTTGAGGAATAATTCAGTTGGAATTGTGATGTCAAAATTTATATCTGATACTAAATTGGAGGTGTACACCGAATAATGTGGATCACTTATTAATATGTTACAAAAAATCTTTGGAGTGAAATGCAGTGGAGTGTAAGGCAGTTCATTTTGCTTTGTGGAATAGAAAGGATCCTGATCTCTTGCAAGGGAGGTCCCTGTGGGGCAGTGGGTAGTGACCCTGCCACTGAGCAAGTAGTTCTGGGTTTCAACCCTGCAATCAGGGGAACCAATAAAAGCGCCAGCACCAATGATGGGTTTTGTGTCACTGGGACTAAATGGAATTCCCTCTTTCATGTTTTGAACGAATATCTCTCGATCCAATGGAGAAAGGTTTATTGTTCACAACTTGTATATCATGTTGTTTTGTAAATGTGTGTGTTCTTTCACTGGTAGCGACATCCCAACGTCAGTAAATACTCAGTAGCAGGCTATTCAGCCCATCAAGCCCATTCCCTCAGTGAATATATTTCAATCTTCTCATTCAACCACACTTTCCCAAGGAGAAGCACACTGAAGGTGCTAAGACATGGATGCAATGTTGTGACAGTGTCATTAGATGGTTTAAAAGGATGAGGGCATTATTGGCAAGTCCAGCATTTATTGCCCATCTCTAATTGCCCTGGAGAAGTTGGTAGTGAGAAGCCTTCTTAGACTATTGCAGTGCATTTGGTGTAGGGAGAGTCGCAATGCTGTTCAGGAGCATGTTCCAGGATTTCAAGCCAGCGACACTGAGGGAACAGAGATGCATTTCCATGTCAGGATGATGAGTGGCTGGAGGGGAACTTGTAGGGGATGGCGTTCCCATGTATCTGCTGTCCTTGTCCTTCTAGATGGAAGTGGTCATGGATTTGGAAGGTGCTGTCTCAGAAGGCTGAGGAGGTTCCTGCAGTGCATTTTCCAGCACTGTCCAACTCTGGTAAAGACAGTGAAAGTTGAAGGTGGTATAGCGGTTATCAATCAGGTGGGCTGCTTTGTTCAAGATGGTATCAAACTACTTCGGTGTTGTTGGAGTTGCACTGATCCAGGAAACTGGAGAGTATTCTAAGTAACCCCTTACTTTTGTCTGAAAGATGGTGCACACATTTAGGGGCGTCAGAAGGTGAGTTACTTACCAGAGAACTCCCAGCCTCTGACCTCCTCTTTTATCCACTTTATTTAAAAACCAAAAGCATTGTGGATGCTGTAAATCAGAAACAAAAACAGAAATTGCTGGAGAAGCTCATCAGGTCTGGCAGCATCTGTAATGAGAAATCAGAGCTAACCTTTTTGGTTCAAGTGACCCTTCCTCACAATATATTTATGTGGTTAGTCCAGTTAAGTTTATGCTCAAGAGTGACTCCCAGGATGCTGATAGTGGGTTTCAGCATGAATGATGATGCCACTGAATGTCAAGGGGAGCGAGTTAGATACACTCTTGTTGGAGATGCTCGTTACCTGGTATTTGTGTGATGCAAATGTTAATTACAACACATCTGCCCAAGCTTCAGTAACTGAGGAGTCGAGAATGATGCTGAACATTGTGATTTCAAAAGCAAACCTCTCCATTACCCTGTGACGGAGGGAAGGTCTTTGATGAAGGAATTGAGGATGGGCCTAGGACACTACCCTGACGACACCGTGCAGAGATGTCCTGGGCTGACATGACTAATGTCCAACAGCCACGACCATCTTCCTGTGTGCCAGTTATCAGTTCAACCAGCAGAGAGTTTACCCCAATTGATCTGACCATAACTGGCTGTGTTGGACTTTTCCTGCTTTTTGCATATAGGACATATCTTGGCAATTTTTCACAATGTCAGACAGATGCCAGTGTTGTACCTGTACTGAAAGAGCTTGGCTCGGGGCACATTATGATTTGGAGCACATGTCCATTTTATGATTGCCAGAATGTTGTCAGGACCAAATTTAAAGTATGAAGAATGAAAACCAACAGAACTGTGGATGCTCTAAATCAGAAACATAAACAGAAGTTGCTGGAAAAGCTCAGCAGGTCTGGCAGCATCTGGACAGAGAAATCAGAGTGAACATTTCGGGACCAGAGACAGTGCACTTCTGTGGAAGGGGCACTGGGTCCAGATGGTTAACTCTGATTTCTTTTCAAAGATGCTGCCTGTCCTGCTGAGCTTTTCCAGCAATTTCTGTTTTTGTTTAAAGCATCCAGTACATTCAGAATTTTGACATAACTTTGAGTGAATGAAATTAGCTGAAGACTGGCAACTGTGATGCTGGGGACCTGTGGAGGAGGCTGAGATGGATCTTCCAGTTGAAGTTTGTTGCAAATGCTGCTCTGTTACCTTTTGCAGTGACGTTCTGGCTCAGCCATCATCGAAGATGAGAATTTTTGTGGGGCCTCCTTCTCCAGTCAGTTAGTTTAACCCACCACCACCATGAATGACTGGATGTGGCAGGACTACAGAGATTAGATCTGATCCATTGGTTGTGGAATCACTTTGTTCTGTTGATCACTAGCTGCTTCTATTGTTTGGTGCACATGTAGTCCTGTTTTGTAGCTTCACCTCATTTGTCAGGAATGCCTTGTGCTGCTCCTGGCATATACCTTCCTGTTCTCTCCATTGAAGTATTGATTCTCTGGCGTGATGGTCGTGGTTGAGTGGGGGATACACCAGGCCACGAGGTTGTAGATTGTGCTACAGTATAATTCAGCTGCTGATGATGATCCATTCTGCCTCATGGATGCTCATTCTTCAGGAGTCAGCTTTATTCAAGTCTGTCCCATTTAGCACAATGCCTTACAACACAATGGACAGCACCTTCAATGTGAAAGGAGGACTTTGTCTCCAAAAAGACTCTGCGATGATTACCCTTATCGATACTGTCATGGACAGATGCATCTGAGGCAAGCAGATTGGTGAGGATGAGGTTAAGTAGGTATTTCCCTGTGTGTTGCTACAAACCCAGTCCATCAGTTATGCCTTTTAGAATTCAGCCAGCTCTGTAAGTATTGGGGTTACCCAGCAAACCCTTGGTGATAGACATGAGGTAACCCACCCTGAAAGCATTCTGTGCCTTTGTCACCCTCGGTGCTGGCTCCAAGATTGAGGAGCACTAATTCAACAGCCAGAGCTGGGGGAGGGTAGGTGGTAATCAGCAGGAGGCGCCCTTGCCTATTTCACCTGGTACAATGTGACTTCATGCAGTCAACGCTGAGGGCTCCCAGGGCAATTCCATCCTGACTGTCTATCACTGTGCTGCCAACCCTGCTGGGCCTTTCCTGCCAATGGGACAGGACATTCCCAGAGATGGTGATGGCGGTGCCCTCTGGGACATGTCTCTAACGGACAATTCCTTGAGTCGACTTTGACTGCACAATGACTGAGTAGCTTCCTCTGTGGCTCCAGAGGGCAGTTCACAGTCAATCACTTTGTAATCACATGTTGGCTAGACCAAGTAAACACCAGATTTCCTTTCCTAAAGGACAGGGTTCCCACACGAATCAAACCTCTGGGTCTGTCTGAGTACCTGACTGTACTGAGGCATCACTTCCATCAGCAGATTGAAACAAAGGCTCACCAACACTTCCTTCAGAGTATTTTACACTGGCCAATAAATATCAGCAACGTTCGTATCACAACCTGAATGTGAAAGTTCTGCAATGTTCAAAATGTACTATATCAACGCAACATGTTCCTTGGATCCCATAGCATTACCAGCTGAGGTACAATTCAAAGGGAGTACTTTAAATAATCTTGCTATATCTGGAACTTACAGCAATATCAGTTCAGAAATGTCAATTCCCTGTCAAACACCAACAGAGAGAAAAATCAGTTCTGAGGAAGGGTCACCAGACCCGAAACGTTAACACTGTTTTCTCCTTCACAGATGCTGCCAGACCTGCTGAGCTTTTCCAGCAACTTTGTTTTTGTTCCTGATTTACAGCATCCGCAGTTCTTTTGGTTTTTATTTAGAGAGAAAAATCCATTGGCTTTCATGAGACCTGTCAATTCCCAGAAGGTAAAAGAAATCTTTTAACCCTGTTCATCATATTTCCAGATGACAATGAGTGTGGTGAAACCGAAGCTGATTTAAGTGGCCGGTGTGGTGTCAACACAGAATGTTACAATACGCTCGGGAGTTTCTACTGTACCTGTAAGAAAGGATACGCCACATACTCAGGAGAAACTAACTTCACCGCCATTACACACTGCCGAGGTGAGGAAGCTAATTACATGACATGCTTGTTTTCATAAAAGTTGAAAGTGTGTATGGGTTCTAACTGCATTTCCAGCACTTTTATTTTGAAGTCACTCCTCTAGATTTGGATGAAAATGTCAACAATCTTCCTCCACTGTACCATCTACGCAAACACACAAATATATGGAACAGGAGCAGATGTTGACCATCCAGCCCTGAAAGCCTGCTCTGCCATTCAATAAGATCATGGCTGATCTGTTTCTGTCCTGAATTTCTCATTCACCTCAACCAAAATAACCTGTGACACCTCTGCCTAAGAAGAATCGATCTACCTGGACCTTAAAAATACTCAATAGCCCTGCCTCCACCTCCTCCTGTGGCACAGAGTTCTGAAGTTACCTAATCCTTTGAGGGAAAATATTTCTCCTCATCTCTGTCCAAAAAAGAAAAATCCTGAATTTTAAAACAGTGCCCCTTGGTTCTGGATTCACACACGAGTAAACAAACTTTCCACTCTCACCTGGTTATACACACCTCTTTCTTCAAAATTCCAATGTGAAACAAGCCCAGTCTGTCAAATGAATCCTCATAACACTATCATTCCAGGAATCAATCTAGTAAACTTCTCCTGCACCACCTCCAGTATTTTTACATCCTTCCCTAAATAAGGTGACAAACCTGCCCACAGTATCCAGATGTGCTCTCAGCAATGCTCTAAATTTTAAGTGAAATTATAAGTGAAGGATTACATCCTTACTTTTATTTTCAATTCCTTGCATAATAAAAGATTATATTCCATGAGACGTTTAAATGAAATACTACAAATAACGCTTCCTAACTTTTTGTGACATGTCCTAAAACCCCTAAATCCCTCTCCACCTTAGAATTTTGCAGGCATTCTCCATTTAAGTAGCACTCTACTTATCATCCTTTCTACCAAAGTGAAGAACTCCCACATTATACACCATCTGAGAGATTTTTCGCCACTCACTCGCCCTATACATATCTGTCTGTAACCTCTCTCTAAGCCTCCTTCACAACGTACTTTCCTACCCATCTTGGTGTCATTTGCAAATTTAGATCAAAATCTTTGCTCCCCTCAACATGTAATTGCAAGATTAAACATGTATTTTCAAGATTTCAACTTGTGCCTCCTCAACATTTGCTAAGAACAAGGGATTATGAGCTCAAAGACATGACCATTACATCATACGACTACTGTTTAGTGGCTAACCCCAACCTATTCTTCTATTAAATTTTCCAAAAGAATTAAGGCTAAGCCAATTCTTTTCATTTTCTTTTGTTGTATTTTAACAATAGTGTAAGAATAAATTATATTTTGCTTAACGTCGAGTAGTTTGAACTGTCAAATAGCATCTGGTATGTAACACCTTACATTTACCTTTAAAATAAGAAAAACGCAGGGGCTAGACTATCCTTTTAATGTATTGTGAGGGGATTTGGTCCTGTCCATAACAGACTGATGTAGTTTATATCGATTCCAGCAAGGGCTTTGACCAAGTCCAGCACAGGAGAGTGAACAATAGAGCAAAAGCACACAGGATCCAGGGTAACTTGGCAAGTTGGATCCAAGCATTGGTTTAATGATAGGAGCCAAAGGATGGAGGTAGAAGGCAGTTTTTCTGGCTGGAGGTCGGTGTCCAGAGGCATATCCCACAGATCGGTGCTGAGTCCCTTATTGTTTGTTACATAAATGATAAACAAGAAAATGTGGGGGGTGATGATAAGTAAGTTTGCTGATGACATGATGATTAGCCAGGTGGTTGACTATGAGGAAGAAGGTCTTAAGTTACAGTTCATGAAGGTGCTCAGGGAGATTCATAGTTTTTTGTATTCCAGATATCAATGAGTGTAAGACAGACCCGTGTAGTACAAACGCAACATGCACCAACATGATAGGAGGTTTCATTTGTAATGAAGGGTTTGTCTCAACCACTGGAGAACACACCTTTACTGATAAAACACTCACACAGTGCCAAGGTAAAGACTATGCTGCTTAGCAAGCAACATCCTGAGCACTAATCAATCATGTCTGTTATTTATGAGACTTTACCCTCATTCTGTAATGAATCCCAAAATAAGTGTGCTGTGTTCCTTCAAACTTTGATTGGTACCTGTGCTCTTGGACATCCTTATCCTTCTATCAGATTGTCATTTACAAATCTCCCCTTTTTATACAATGACACAGATGTTCTAATCACTTCAAAAAGCCTATTTTTGACCTTGATCAAATACCCACTTCATTTTTAACATCTGGAGAATCCTTGATAGGAGCCTCCTGTTCCAAACGTGCACTGAAATCCATGCCATGAAGAAAATTGTCATAGAAAGCACTCCCTCCCTCTTTTGCAGCAATCTGTCTGTGATCAGTGAATTTATTGGCCAGCAGCACAGTCTGATACTTTGACAGCTCCCTGTGAAAGGCTACGTATTTAACTGGTATCAGTGTGGGAATACTGCGGCATGGGTGTGATGTGGGCAAAGGGGCTCAGGAGCCAAGTGGGAGAGGTCCATGGGATGTCAGTCATGTGGTGTGCCAGGTGTACAAAGTGGGCATCATGGTGGGGGCTGGGTGCCTTGTGGACGAGCTGTTGGGATACTGGGGGCGCGGTGTCACCTGGGCAAGCTGGTAGAGTAACAGGGGCTAGTAAAACAGGTCGGGGTAAGGTCAGTACCATAATAGGCAGTGGGGTTTCAGGCTGCAGGGAAACAGTGAGTGAATGTTTCAGGCAGCTCGGGCTCAGGTGGGTGTTGATTTCGGTGGTGGGGAGCAGTCCAGGTGGGGCTGGGGAGGGGGCAATGTCAGGTCCTGCAGGTGGGAGGAGGAAAGGGGAAAGGGATGATTTGTGCTGAGATGGGTCACGTCCTTCACAAGCTGCAGGAATTCCTATCTTGGGCAGAGCCTCGACAACATTTCCTCTAAAAGATGACACCTACAGCTATGCTACATTTCCTGGGTATTCCAACACAGCCATAACCCTCTGTTTCAGGTTGTGTATGCTCTCATTGGATGGTGCTAACACTGGGCTATGTTGTGAAGTTGCACTTAGTCATCTCAGACTCCAGCATCTGCAGTTCTGACTATCCTAATTACATTACATGCCAAGTTTCATCAAAGTTGAAAGTCTGTATAGGTTCTGCCTGCATTTTTGGCACTTTTAGGTTGAAGTTACTCCACTAGATTTGGATGAAAATGTCGACAATCTTCCTCCACTATTCCATTTATACAAACACACAAACAGATGAAACAGGAGCAGATGTCGTCCATTCAGCCCCTCAAGCCTGCTCTGCCATTCAATAAGATCATGGCTGATCTGTTTCTGTCCTGAATTTCTCATTCACATCAATCCCAATCACCTGTCACACATCTACCTAAGAAGAATCGTTCTCGCTCGACCTTAAAAATATTCAATAATACTGCCTCTACCTCCTCTGAGGCAGAGACCTCCGAAGTTACACAACCCTCTGAGAGAAAACATTTCTCCTCATCACTTTCCTAAAAAGGACAATCCTGAATTTTAAAACAGTGCACCTCGGTTCTGGATTCCCACACAAGAGGAAACACAATTTCCACTCTCACCTGGCTAACAATTTTCAAGATCTTCTACACTTTAATCAAGTCACCCCTCTTTCTTCAAAATTCCAGAGTGAAACGAGCAGAGTCTGTCCAATATATAACACATTCATTCCAGGTATCAATCTAGTCAAACTCCTCTGAACCACCTCCAGTACGTTTACACCATTCCTTAAATATGGTGAACAAAACTGAACAATATCGAGATGTGGTCTCAGCAATGTCCCGTATTACTGAAACATAACATCCTTACTCTTTTGATTCTTTTCATAATAAACAATAAGATTCCACAAACCTTCGTAATGAAATGCTCCAACTAACCCTTCCGAATTTTTTGTGACTCATGACCTACAACCCCTAAATCCCTCTCCACCTTACAATTTTGCAGGCATTCTCCATTTAAGTAACACTCTACGTTTCATTCTTTCTACCAAATTGAAGAACTCCCACATTGTACACCATCTGAGAGATTTTTCTCCACTCACTCACCCTATACATATCCATCTGTAACCTTTCTCTAAGCCTCCTACACAACATACTTTCCCACCCATCTTGGTGTCATTTGCAAATTTAAATCAAAAGCTTTGCTCCCCTCAACTGATAATCGCATTTTGTTTCAAGATTTCAACCTATGCCTCCTCAACATTCGCTGAGAAACTGGGTTCATGAGCTCAATGACATGACCATTGCATCATACGACCCTCACTATTCACTCTCACGAGGGCTCACCATCTTTGAACATTGACATCTCCTCCTGGCACAAGACAAGTACATGTTGCACATGCTGCAGACTGGTGTTCAAGTTCCATGTTGTCTCCTTCAAAAATTGTCCGACCAGTCTCTGTGTTAGTACTCCATCTTATCTTGGATCACCTCAAGGTCACCAAAGTCAACTGGGAACAATTAATTCTGGATAAACCTACAGCAAAACAAAGAATGCATTCAAATTGGAATTGCTAACTGTACAGGACAACATGTTCCCTTTCGCTTGAAATGGAGGAACAAGAAGCCCAGTGAACCCTGGATGTCTTGGAATACTCAGGACTGGATAAGAAGGAAAAGAGAACATTTTAAATTGGGACAAAGGAAGCAAATCAATGGAAGAGCTCGTGGAGTATAGAAAACGCAGGGAAGAACTTAAGACAGCAATTAAGAGAGCAAAGAGGGGACATGAAGAAACAGTGACATGTTAGGTGTGGGTAGGGACATCAGGGACCAAGTGGGCGAGCTGTGTATGGAACCAGAAGACATTGGTCAGGTGTTAAACGAATACTTTACCCATTGTCTTCACTTTGGAGAGGAGGATGCAGGTACTGAATTCAGAAACGGGGACTGTGGGGTTCTTGAGCAGTTTGACATGAGGAGTGAGGAGGGATTGGAGGTTTTAGAAGTGGACAAGTCCCTGTGTCTGGATGAGTTGTATCCCAGGCTGCGGTGGGAGGCAAGGGAGGAAATTACTGTGGTTCTCAAACAAATTCTGAATTCCTCTCTGGCCAGAGGGCATGTTCTAGAGGACTGGAGGACAGCAAATGAGATTCCATTTTACAGGAAGGGTGGTAGAAATAAATCAGGGAATTATAGACCAGTGAGTCTCACACCATCATTGCCTACTGGAGAAACTACTTGAGAAAATTCTGCAGGAGAGATTTAATCTCCACTTGGAAACATATGATCAGAGATAGGAAGCTTGTCTTTGTCAGATGGAGGTCATTCCTAACCAATTTGATTTAACATTTCAAGGAGGTGACCAGGTGTGTGCATGAGGTCAGTGCAGTTTGTGACGATACAAGGCTTCAAGAGGTTATTTTGTCGTTTTTTCAAACAGAGGTTCTAAGACAGATTTGCCAAGCTGTCAATTTGGAAATTGAGGAGAAAACAGATTTTGCTTAAAAGTTTAACAACAGAAGCAGCCTGAATGTGTGTGGTCAAGCTCTCACCAAACCAGGATTTTCAATTTCTGAGTTTTTCACTCGTAGTTGCTGTTGAGATATTGAAGAATTGGAAGCTATTTTTTTTGTGTCCTGGCTACAGCTAAAAGCTGGGGGTTTCTCCCTCCCTGCTGCTGGAGTTGCATGTGAGGCAATCTGTTTTCTGAATTTGTGTTTTGCCAAGGGTGTGTTCATAGGATGTCACTCAATTGGAATAGTCACTGTTTAGTTGCTAACCAATCTATTCTTCTATTAAATTTTCCAACAGAGTTACAGCTGAGCCAACTCTTTTCCTTTCTTTTTCCTTCTGTTGTATTTTAACTAGAGCGTATGAATAAATTTTGTTATGCTTAACATCGAGTAGTTTGACCTATCAAATTGCATCTGGAACGTAACACTTTATATTTACCTTTGAAATAAGAAAAATGTAGGAGCTAGACTATCCTTTTAATATATTTTGGTGGGTTTTTATCTGGCCCAAAACAGAAAATGTAGTTTATATGGATCCCAGCAAGGGTTTTGACAAAGTCCAATACGGGATAGTGATCAACAAAGCACATAGGATCCAGGATAACTTGGCAAGTTTGATCTAAACATTGGCTTAATAACAGGAAACAAAAGCTGATGGTAGAAGGTAGATTGTCTGGCTGGAGGCCAGTGTCCAGAGGCATCTCACACAGCTCGGTGATGAGTCCCTTATTTTTTGTTACATAAATGATACACGAGAAAATGTGGGGGGTGATGATAAGTAAGTTTGCTGATGAAATGAAGATTGGCCAGGTGGTTGACAGTCAGGAAGAAGGCCTTATGTTACAGGAGGACATACACAGATCAGTCAGATGGACAGATCAGTTGCAGATGTAACTTAACCCTGTTAAGTGTGAGGTGATACACTTTGGAAGAAGTAACAAGACAAGCGCGTACTCAATGAATGGCAGGTCACGAGGAAGATCAAAGGAACAGAGAAATCTTGGAGTGGCTGTCCACAGATCCCTGGAGGTGACAGGAGAGATTAATGGGGAAGGTAATAAAATATAAGGGCCATGTGCTTAAATCAGTCACGGCATGGATTATACGAGCAGAGAGATTATGTTGGAGCTCTACGGGACTTTGATTTTGCCACAACCGGAGAACTGTGTGTAGTTCTAGTCACGCATTTTCAGAAGATGTGATTGCACTGGAATGGGTGCAGAGGAGATACACCAGGATGTTACTGGGTTGGAGCAGTTTAGGTAT